CACATAAACATACAAATAAAAATAAATTTTTATAATTAAAAAATAAAGGCTAGGAAATCTTGTATCCAATTCTATGCCTCTTAGATGGGAACACATAGAAACCTTCCTTAGCTGGTATAGAAGTACAAGTGCTAAAATAACTCTATTTTGCCATTTCTGTGTATTTTGCCATTTCTGTGAACAAAATACATTTTTTAAGTTAATGCTACCCAAATTTCATCCCTTTTTTGAAAAAAGATTATATTTTTATGTGTATGCATGTGTATAAATCCACCAAGTGCAGATAGTACCCTCAGGGGCTAGCAAAGGGCATTGGATCATTTGGAACTGGAGTTGTTGATGGTTTGAACTGCCATGTGAGTGCTGGGAACTGAACCTGAGTCCTCTGCAAGAATAGTTAGTGCTCTTAATCAGTGAGCCATCTCTCCAGTTCCAACAAAATACATTTAGTAATTGCAAATCAACTATTTCTAAATACTTTTAAATATACTTTTTAAGTTTCTAAAAATCCAAAAGACTGCACAAATTTTAAGTCTATTAATCAATTTAACTACAAAGAAACTATTATTCCAATTATATGGTAAAATTGATACATCTTCAATGACTATAACTTATTCAAAAATTGTTATTCCCAGATCTACATTTTTAAAAGAAAACAAAAAAAAATCCTACTATAAACACATGCCACAACTTTTGTTCAAAAAACAGAAATACTAATTTTTATTCCCAAGCAACAGCAACACAACAGCTAATATTCAGGAAATTTCCCATTAATTTTTATATAAACAACTAATTCAATATAAATTTGCTGTTGTTTTAGTTAGTATCTCATAACTAACACAAGGAAACAGCACCAGTGAAAGTCATATTCACCAACTTGAAGATATAAAATAATTCTAACTGAATATTTTTATTTTTGTCAGATGCTCATATGTTATTTGAACAACTGGTTATTTAAAGGCAAGAATATTTTTAATCACAACATGAATATATTTAACCATTTCCACAAGGACTGATAAACTATTTTTTTATCCTCTTCATAAAGACTCAGGGATTTCAGTTAATGAAAATACTACTTAAATACACAAAGTTATAATTAAACCATTATCTTAAGATATAAGCATACACATTTCTTTCCCCATAAAATGAAAACAAAACTCATGAAACCTTAAGAATCTACACACTAGTATCAGTGAATTGAAACCTATAGTTTTTCAGAGATTACAATCAGAAAACTGAAAGAAATTGAGATCTATGGTTTCAATGGGAAATATCCCTCACAGGCTCATGTGTTTGAAGACTTGGTCTCCAGTAGGCAGAACTGTTTGAAGAGATTGTACAACCTTTAGGAAGTAGGAACTCTAAGGAGAGAGGTCACCTGAGACAGACCTAAGGTTTCATAGCCCAGGTCTGCTTCCTCTTTGTTCTTTAGTTCCTGGCCCACTGTGAGGTAGAGCAAGCAGTTGCTGGCCACTATGCTTTACCCCTTGATGGCCTCTCATCACCTTCAACTATGAGCCCAAATAAGCTGCATCTGTCAGTATTTTATCACATCAATAAAAAGCTAACATGAATCTAGTAGCCTAAAAAAAGCAAAATAAGTCAGCTCCCAGTGGAATCACTCTCATGCTACCCATAGAAGAGAACCCTTACCTTTCCAATTTCAGATGCCCAAGAAATGGAAATCTGATTTGGCACAGCTGAAGACAATCGAACTAAAGATGTAATATTCAAGGGGCGTCCAGGGCGCTTCTGTTCAATCCCATTTTTAGGCGGTGGTGCATAGCCCTAAAACCATTGAAAAATTATTTTAAATGCTCTATAGGGCTTAAACATTTTCTTCAAGATTTTAAAAACACCTCCCCTCCTGCCTAATTTACATTGCTATTTTTATTTTAGAAATCATATACACTAGGAAAAAAATTCCAGATCATGCCATTAAAATTAATGTTGAGATTAAAGGCGTGTGCCACCTCTTAAAAAAGACAAAAAAAAAATTTAATGTTGATATCCTGTCATACTGGCTACAAATCTTTTTACAGAAAATCAAGCTTCACAGATAAAGTGAAACCTATGGAATGACTCATCTTAAGGAGGTCCCATTCGCAGTTCATTCACATACCAAGTAGGAAAGAACAGAGAACAGTCTTTGGAAGTACAAAAATAAGAATTTGTTAATGAACTTTGAAAAGTTTATTAAAATGTTGAGTTTAAAAATGCTTTCCATTGCCTCATCTCTGAGTGAATGAAAAACTGATTTTTAAAAAAGAGGGTAAAGGGGCTGGGAGAGATGGCTCAACAGTTAAGAGCACTTGCTGCTCTTTCAGAAGACCTGAGTTCAATTCCTAGTGTGGATCACAACCATCTATAACCATCTTCCCTGGATCCAACACCCTCTTCTGGCCTCTGCAGGTACCCACAGGCACATGACAGACATATACACATGACATAAATAAAATAATCCTGTTTTTAAAAAAAAAATTATTTTTATTTTACATGTATGAGTGTTATGCCTGCATGTAAATTAAGTGCACCTGTGTTGTGCAATGCCTGTGGAAGACAGAAGAGGCTGTCAGATCCCCTGGAACTGGAGTTAGGGCCAGTTGTTAGCTGCCATTTTTTCTGCAAGAACAGTCAGTGTTCTTAACCGCTGAGCTATCTCTCCAGCCCCTAAAATAATCCTTTTTTTTAAAAAAAAAAGCAGATTAAGTTAACAAACAAAAATCACTATTTCAGTTGCTATTAAATAGGCTTGACTTTGCTTTAAATATGAAACATACTCTGTTTTTACTCATACTATATACAATTCTCAATTACCCAAAGGCTGTGATTTTCAAAAGGAAAATAAGTATTTTAGAAAATTAAGATTTCTTAAAATGCAGTAACATCTACTGTTCTGGATAGCTTTAGTGTCAACTTGACACACCTGGGTTGAGGGAGCCTCAATTGGGGAACTGCCTCTATTGGGCTGGCCTGTGGCCATGTCTGAGGGGCATCTTCTTGATGAGTGATGTGGGAGGGCCCAGCCCACTGTGGGTGGTGCCACCCCTGGGCAGGTGGGCCTGTGTTGCATAAGAAAGCAGGCTGAGCAGGGGCCAGGGGAGCAAGCTAGTAGGCAGAGTTCCTCCATGGCCTGTGCTCCAGTTCCTGCTTCCAGGTTCCTGCCCTGAGTTCCTACCCTGGGCTCCCAGGTGAACTATGACCTGGGATATATAAGCTAAATAAACCCTTTCCTCCCCAAGTTTGTAGTGGTCAGAGTATTTCGTCACAGCAATGAAGAAACAAAACTAGGACACCTACGTATTGAAAAACAGACACCACATTTCACAGTGTATGGCAATTAATGTAATTTACTAATGTACCACTTAGTGTTTTCCTAAAAGTTAATGATACAACTCATTGTATCATTACTTATTTTTGTACATAAAACAAGGAAATATAAACACAATGAACTAACAATGTATATTCTTTTTTGACAGAAGACGCTTCTGAACCACTTTTCACTCAATCACATTTTTCTTCTATATACAGCCGGGTGTGGTGGCACATGCCTTTAATCCCAGCACTCCAGAGGCAGAGGCAGGCGGTTCTCTGTGAGTTCAAGGCTAGCCTGGTCTACATAGTGAGTTCCAGGACAGCTGGAGCTACAGGGAGACTCTGTCTCAAAAAGACCAAAAAAAAAAAAAATCTCCATTTCATTATTAAAATACACAGTTTCATACAGAAAAATTCATTTTAAGCCGGGTGTGGTGGCGCACGCCTGTAGTCCCAGCACTTGGGAGGCAGAGGCAGGCAGATCTTTGTGAGTTCGAGGCCAGCTTGGTCTACACAGTGAGTTCCAGGACAGCTGGGGCTACAGGGAGCAAAAAGACAAAAAAATAATAATAATTTTTTCTTCTATATACAAGGAAGAGCTTTAAATATATAAAGAATATCTGAAAACTACACTCATTCCACTAAGACCTCCCCAATTTCCTCACAAGTCATTGACAACTGTAACAGCATGTGCTAATGCTAATACAGTTCTAAGAATTATAGGTGAAAGGCTTTCAGACAACAGTCAGATTCATGCCAGGGGAATAGCATCAAGGTTGTACAAATGTAGGCAATGGAAACATATCACAGCTGTCATCTGACCATCAGCAAATGTTAAGACCCTTCTAGATTTTCAAAACATTGAATTATATACCATACAGTGAAATTCAGCATTGGTATACAAGCTGAGCTAAGGAATACACCCAAGTTGATTACAACTTGGGAACATCCTTCACTGCCCCATAAGGGAAAAGACAGTTATTATTCAGTGAGAAGCCATATGATAATTTGTAATCTACAACTGGCAGCAAAATTCTAAACATCAAAACCACTTGCACAAAGAATATGTATTATAATATGGGAATGGGAGTGGTGTGTGTGTGAATTAGAAGGGCATATATATTAAATTGATCCAGGTAAAACACAGTAAGGGTAGGATAACTAAAAAAAAAAGTGCTCTTGTAAAGACTCCAGAAGGGGTTTGGGAGATGACTCACTAACAGTTTACTCTGCAATGAGGACCCAAATTCAAATCAATAGCACCTGAGTAAATAACTAAGCATGGCTAAGCAGGACTGTAAGCCCAGGAGTGGAAAGCAGAGCCAAGCAGATCCTGAGAGCTTGCTGGCCAGCCAGTCTGCCTGGGCAAAACAGCCTCCAGTTCAGCGAAACCTCCTCTCAAGTCAGTAAGGGGGGGAGAATGTAGAAGAACACATCCAATTTCCTGCTCTAACCTCTACAGGCATATATACCCATGTGCACGCAACACAAGTACACATGCAAACACACACACACACACACAAATACTTCATGAGCAACAAAGAGAAATATCAATACCAGTATTTAAGTAATTATCAATGCAAAATTTTGTTTTGGTCTATTTGGGGCCTAAAAAATAATTCTACTTTTGGTTTACCAAATGGCAAGTTTACCAAATAAAACCAGTGACTCAAGGTCTGCAAAAAATGGTCAAAATAACCCATAACTTTGTTAAATGTCAACTCTGTAAATTGGAACTTGAGTCCTAAGGCACTTTGACAGTGTGGAAGAGAACAATTAAGAGTAAGGAAAGCAAGAGTAAATGTATTAAAGAGTATTAAAACTGACGTACACCACTTGCTAGCATCAACAAAGTTCATGGGTCCAAATCACAAGCACCAGCAAAAAAAAAAGTTTTGCTAGATTAGGTAGCACATACCTTTAATTCCAGGTCTTAGGAAACTCAAGTGAGATTATGAGTTGGAGGCTAATCTGGGCTACAGAGCAAGACTCTGTATCAACTATTAAAATAAAAGCCAGGCATGGTGGCACACACCTTTAATTCCAGCACATAGGAGGCAGAGGCAGGCAGATCTCTGTGAGTTCAAGGACAGCTTGGTCTATATTAGTTCCATCTACAGGTTCCAGGATGGCCAGAGCTACATAGTGAGATCCTGTCTAAAAACATAGAAGTGTCAAGTAACTTCAGTATCATATATGGTATTAGTCCTAATCACCTAAAGTTTTTGTTCTGAAACAAGGTCTTACTATATAGCCCCAGATAGCCTTGAACTCACATCATTCCTTGTGCCTCTTAAGAAATGAGACTGCAGGTGTGCACTATGTACAAATGGCCAGCTATCTTAAAGTAGTTTCAATCTATATCCAATTTGTATTGACTGACTTCACTCAAAATCATGCATTACCTATTAAACTGTATTTTTCTTCTAATCAATTGCATGTCCTCTACACAACTGTCCAAGATCTGGTTATTAAGAGGTTATCTTTAGTGCCAGGCAGGGGGGCCCACTTGTAATCTAACACTTTGGTGGTGGAGACAACTACATAGTAAATTTGAAGCCAGAATGGGCTACATGATTACCTATCTCAAAAAGTCATTCAGAATTGTGTAAAACTGTTAAGCCTTCACATTTCTCAACAACTTTCCATATTTTACAAATTTATTTATCTTAATTTTATGTGTGAGTATTCTCCCTGCATGTAAGTACCCTGTGACATGCAGTGCCCAGAAGACCACAAGAGCATGATGTTGGATTCCCCTGGAACTGGAGTTACAATCGGTTGATAGCCTCCATGTGACTATCACCCTGCAAGCCCCAGCTATGAGCTCTTTACAGTCTTCCCTGAATCAAGAGAACTTGGAAAATAGATGCAGGAAGGCATTTCCTAAAACAAATCACCCTAGGCTGGGAAATGGCTGAGTAGGTAAAATATCTGATGTGTAGGCATAAGGACCTGAGTTTGGATCCCCAGCACCCATTTAAAAAGCAAGGCCTGAACTGGGCTTGGTGGTGCATGTCTTTAATCCCAGCACTTGGGAAGCAGAGGAAGGAGACAGGTGGATCTCTGTGAATTCAAGGCCAGTGTGGTCTACATAGTGAGTTCCAGGCCAGCTGGGGCTACAGGGAGACCCTGTCTCCAAAAGACCAAAAAAATAAACAAAATAAAAAAATAAAAAGCAAGGCCTGGTGGTCATATATATAACCCTAGTGATAAAGGACAGAAACAGATGGATCAGATCCCTAGAGCCTACACTGGTCAGACAGCCATCTAGTCAACTGGTATGAGAGTATCAACTGTCAACCTGATAGAATCTAGAGGTACCTAGGAGAAATTTCTCTGGGCATGCCTGTGGGAGAATCATCTTGATGGTGTTAACTGAGGTGGGAAGACCCATGTAATATGGGTGGCACCATTTACTGGCTGGGATCCTGAACTACGTTAAAGTAGAGAAAGGGAGCTGAGCAGCAGATAGGCATTCACCTCTCTCTGTTACAGTTTCAGGTACCTGCCACTTTGCTGTCCCTGCCATGTTGGATGAAAACCTTAAACTGCAATCCAAAATAAACCCTTTTTCCTTAAGTTGCTTTTGTCAGCATATTTTATAACAGGAGGAAAAGAAACTAAGACAAGAAGTGAGCTCCAGTTTTAGTAAGAGACCCTGGTCTCAAAATAAGGTGGAGAGTAACAGAGAAAATGGTACCCCAAGGTCAACCTCTGGACTACAAACACACACACACACACACACACACACACACACAGATACACTATACACATACACACACATATATATAAACACAATTTTAAAAATAAAACTTGTGGGCTGGGGAGATGGCTCAGTGGATAAAGCATTTGTCACTCAAGTATGAAGACAGGAGTTCTGATCTCTAGAACACAGGAAAAAGTCTGGCAGATATGGCAGCAGCCTGTAATGCCAATACTCATGAGGTACAGATGGAACCCCTGGGGCAAGCCGAATTGGTGAGCTCCAGGTTCAATGAGAGACTCTGCCTCGATAAAGTTGAGAGTGAACAAAGACACCCAACATTAACTTTAGGCCTCCACATACATTCTCATACACGTGGACCCAACTCAGACACATGAACACACAATGCACACATGAACATACACTACATATATACACATTTCCCCCTCAACAGCACTAAATTAATCATTTTGAAGTCGATAAAAATGCGAGTAAGCTGTTTTCATCATTATTTGATACTTAGGGGTCCAGGGACACACTGCTGTCAAAGCAATTAGTACCATTTCCTATTCCATTTATATACCATATAGTAGCCAACTGCATTGGATCCACAATGTCTGGATATTACAACAGAGTTGCAGGTCAAAAACAAATTTAATTATTCTCAGACCTCTAATGTGAAATTCCATAATCTTAATAGGATTATCCCTGCAAGGTTTGTTGTTCAGTAAAGGGATCACGGGCAAGAACCATAGTCTAACTTCTTTGTAGTGTGTAAGTGCTTTTTACAATTGTAACACACAATTGTAAGGACCCATAGACTACACAGAGCTCAATATAAACTCTAAAGGTCAACTGTAGCTTTCTTATTCTGAGGCTTTAACATACATGATTGTCATGAACCTCAGAATCCTGCTATATGCAAATAAAGCCTGCATGAATGGCAACTATGGACCAAAAGGTGGTTTAGTAAGTTTTTCATGGGCTGGGTGTGGTGATGCATGCCTTTAATCCCCATACTTGGGAGGCAGATCTCTATAAGATTGAGGCTAGACTGGTTTCCATAAGCAAGTTCTAGGCCAGCTGTGGCTACAGGGAGACCCTATCTCAAAAAGACAAAAAATAAAGAAGTTTTCCATCAGCTGCATGTGAACTTATGTCATCTGGTCCATAACATCTCATGGAATTCAGCTGAGTATGGTGGTGCACACCTATACTGTCAGCACTCAGGAAACACAGGAAGAAGGATCATTACAAGGACAGCCTGGTAAGTTACAGGTCAGCCGGGGCTACATTGCCAGTCCCTGTCTCAATAAAACAAGAAAAAAGTTTGCATGAGTTTGAAGTGAAAAGACTCTTTGTGGAATTGAGGCAAAAGGCAAGTCCTCACTGTTGTCTTCCGGCTTTGAAATAGGTCTTTGCCTTTCTCTCAATCCTCCTATTTCCTTTTCTCCATAATTGCTCTTGGTTCAAGAGGTGAGTGTGAGACTCATGAGACAAAAGATGCTTTATATAGCAACCTATATCCTCACAAACAGCCTAGTGTTAAGTATTTAAGGGTTACCTGTTGCTTTAGGGCAGAAATCCACAGTGATTGTCTATAACAATACCACAGAGGAAGTACAACTATTATAATTTTCTTTGTCTCAAAAGGACTGGAAGAGTGACAAATAAAGAGCTGTCACAGTACAGTTGTAGATCATACATTAAGAAGCATGACACTGACAGCCTATTTCAGTGTTTTGTGAACTTGTATGTATACACACGTATAGCTACCATAGTTTCTTCTAACAATGTGAAAGCGTTTAGAAAGAACCTCACACATTTCGGACAAATCCCAACACTGGATAGGTATTCAAGGTTGAGTCTGTGGACATGAACAAAGCCTCCACAGTTGTATTGTTCAAGTAGTGAGATAAAGAGCAATGACAGTCAAGAGAATCTTAGTACATACTCAGCAGAGAAAAATGGGTGTGAAAAAAAAATCATAAAAAGTATACACAGAACATTCTGTAATGTATGGTTTCACCAGGCTTCCTTTATCACATATCCAGTCACCCACTGGCATTGTTCAACTCAAAGCAAAGGTGCTTCCTCACCTGGTTCAGACGTTTGTGTAATACACCCAAATAAAAGACAGCTCTTGTAATTCTTGCTGAAAGCCAGAAACATGAGAAAATGTCCCATCTGGTTTTTGAGACAGTTTCACAATGTAGCCGAGGCTACTCTATAAATTCTTTAGGTAGTCCAGGCTGGCCTTGACCTAATATCCTCCTGCCTCAGCCTTCTGCATGCTAGGATCACAAGTATGTGCCACTATGCACAGCCCATGTGGCTTTTGAACATTTACAAGATCATGTAAGGCAAGCAATTCTCCCTGACCATATGTACCAGTTAATTTTCCCTTTTGTCTTCAGAGAACTGTTTCAGACTATAGTATCTCAGACATCTTTCTAGAAGTGTGACAGTGTTGCAGAAGTGCTTGAGCTCTGTAAAATTCTTGGGACAGGTGAATGAGATGGCTCAGCAGATAAAGGAGCTTGCCAGAGAAGACCGGTGACATGAGTTTGATCCCCAGAACCCACCTAAAGACAGATAGAGAGAACTGACTCCCACAAAGTTGTCATCTGACCTCATTCCATATGCTCACCATGGCCACACACGTCCACATATACACCACATACAAAAAAACACATTAAAAATAAATATTTTAAAAAAATTTTTAAATTTCAAGTGGAAAGTAATTTTCAAATTTCTAAGCCCATAACCCAGGAATGAGACAAACGAAATACCCAACTAAGGTAAGTCAGATCCCTTTGACTACAGTGGGTAGCCTGAGTCACTGACATTTGGGCTCAGTTATAAGTAGTTGGTTCTGAAATAACCTAGAGTCATAGACTGCACTGTATGACTTGTCCAGCTGCTCAAAGGTATTCTTCATATAAGCATTCTAGAGCCAAGTCTCAAGCTCAGCAGGAATGTTACAACAGCTTCCTTGTCTCTAATAGCTGCAAAGGTGTATGTTTTGCCAAAATGGCAACTTGGCATACTGTTGGGAGTCACTGAGCACTCCAATTACAACCAATAAACTTCTGCTTTACAGTGCCTGACAAACAGGCTAGGCTCTCCCTTATTATAGTATTGCTGGCATTTTACAGAACTGTACCAATCTTATGTGTTTCAGGCCTCAATGAATAATATAGTACAGTTCAACAATATAAGTTTTAAGACCTAAGGATTTGAAGATCCCAGTTCTATTAGGCCAGAAACAGGTTGTTTATGTCCACACTGTATATATTCCAGGAGACAGAGTTTAAGTTTCTCCTCCCTGTTAAACAATAGGTTGCCAACCAGCTCAAATATTGCTCACTTAAACAACAGGTTTCCAACCAAATATTAATGTGCTCCCTGGACCCAATGGTATGTGCATCATAAAGGCCCAAGCTTAGAACCCTGGATTCTGTGGCTAGCCCCTTTTAGTTGCTCTGCTTTCCTCCATATAATCCATGGGCCAAGCCCAGCTAATTCATATATTCACAATATGATGTTCTATATGCTTAAGTGCCCAAATTCAGCTGTTTAATGGGATCCCAAGAGTCATGCAGAACTTCCTTGAATTCTAGAATAAAATGTTTCATATTCAAAATCTTTTCTGTCTCCCCTTGGCCTAAAGTAAGCCACTTATTTCTCTAAAGAGTCATGAATTTCTCTATAGGAAAACAGTATTTAACCTGGCTAGAATTATTCATTGGTACTAAGCTGTCACTGTTACTACACCTTGTCAATGTTTATACTAAACTTACACAAAATTCTGGTGAATAGAAAGCAACTTACAGGCAAAGGAAAGAGTTTTCCATTTACTTTTATACATAGACTATTGGGATAGTTATCTTCTTGAGGGCAACTTGTCTCTGCCAGGCAAAGTCTATATTTAAAAAAAAAAAAAAAAAAAAAGTTAGTGTGCCAAAACGTGTTTATGTTTTAAAACTCAGGACCACATGCATATACCAAGTATGAAATCATGACAAGAATTTCAAACTTACCGCAGCTGAACTTGGACTGTATAATCTCTCCTACCACCTGGCAAAAAATCTCTGTTGACAAGAAAAAGAAAACAGGTTAAGAAAGCACAATAAAAATTTAAAGAACAGGAGCTGAGGACATACAGTGGGTAAAATGCTTGCTCAACAAGCATGAGGACCTGTGGTCAGATCCACAGCACCCATGGTAAAGCTGGGCACTGTGTGACAGTGAGCGACTATGACCCCAGTGCTGTTGTTGGGGTGGGATGGTGTACAACTTGCAGAGATAGGAGAATCTCAAAGACTGCTGGTCAGCCAGGTTAGCTGAAACAGCAAGATTCAGGTTCACAAAGACCCCGTTTCAAAGAGTAACACTGAAAGCTATAGAGAAGACATCTGACACTGATCTCTGGTCTCCACATATGCAAGAATGGAGTGAGCATACCCGCACAGGTGACTGCAGAAACAGGCACACACAAAAATTAAAAACATTTAAGCAATTATAAAAGTGACACTAATCTACCAAACAAAATAGTGCAGAAATGATAACATCCACTTACTAAACTTTTAGTCATTCTTTATGCCAGTCTTAAGGTATTTTCAGTTTACAGGAACTTTGATGATACAACATTTATTTAAATTTATTTTTGTTATTATTAACAAATTTGATTAACATGTAAAGGAGCATTCTAAGTGCTGAAGGAGTTTAATAAACTAATCTATACATTTAGTGTTTTTAATCTTAGCTGAACATTCTATAATCACTCAAAGACTTTTTGTTTAATATGAAGTTATACTCACCAGGTAATTCTTATTGGTTTGAGTTAGTCTTACGGTTTTTTGGGTTTTTTTGAGACAGGGTCTCCCTGTAGCCCTAGCTGTCCTAGAACTCACTATGTAGACCAGGCTGGCCTTGAACTCACAGAGAAACACCTGCCTCTGCCTCCCAAGTGCTAGGACTACAGGTGTGCACCACCACACCCAGCTGTAAGTCTCACAGTTTTTAATAGCTGTGTGATTCTAATATAGAACCAGTACCTATAGACTCAACATCATAACAGAAACTTCATACTTATGTGTACAATTGCAGATACAAAACTTTTTATAATTTCTAGAACTTCTAGACTCAAAATGGAGTCTATAGAGAAGCAGCACTGAGGCTGGTAATAATGCACAATATGCTTTTCTTCTTAGAGAGATGAGGGACTGGAGCATACCCTGGGCCACTGGCCCAGGAAAAGAACGTTATCACACAGGACCTCACCTTAGGTCCTTCTATATTGATCTTAAAACTCTGAACTCAGGACTTGACAATTAAGAAAGAAAATAACTGGGGAGAAGCCAAGGTGCCGGTAGCACCCCATGGATGCCAGAACTAAGTGCAGATAAGCACAGGCACGACCTGTTGTGGGAGAACTTTAAAAGGTGACTCCATTGCCAGGCATGGTGGTGCATACATTTTACCCCAGCACTCAGGAGGCAGAAACAGATGGATCTCTCTGAGTTCCAGGCCAGCCTGGTCTACATAGTGAGTTCCAGGCTAGCTGGGGCTACAGGGAGACCCCGGTTCAAAAAGACTCCCCCGCAAAAAAAAAGATGAATCCAGTAAAAAGATGCCAAGATGTGCCGTGTGTGTGTGTGTGTGTGTCCATGTCCACAATGGAACAGCAGGAGGCACACAAAAAAATAATCAACTGGATCCTTGAAAAAGGACCCTTCATGAGAAATAAACAATCCATCTGTCTCCTGGAGTGAAAGTGAATAGTGTTTTTCTCTAATACTAATATCCCTCTAGTGAGATAGTCAAGAGAACCAGTACTGTTGCCTATTTGTTGCACAGAAGCTAATATGCTCCTTTCTTAAACACAACTATAATCACATGGATGAAGTGATAGACACGGGAACATAGTAGGAACCCATGTAACTGGAACTATGGTCCTTCCCATGAGTCTCAAGCTGTGGTCCCCTCCTATGAGCTGAAGCTGTAAGCCCCTTCTGTGAACCTAGAGTTGCAGTCCATGCCTGTGAGCTGGAGCTATGGTCCCCTCCCTTGAGCCAGACTTGTGGTCCCCAATCATAAGCTACAGTTCTACATTCCTCTGGTGGTAGGTTGATGGTGGAGCAGATTGGAGGATGGAGGACTTCCTGATGTTGGACAGCAGTTTCAGTCTTCCCTGAGGGGTTGCATTCCCCACAAACCCCTCCCCCCAAGGACCCAGATTGTGCATAGCAATGGCTTTGCCTCTGTGTTGGACTTAATGCTGGGGACAGGGGAGGTTTCTGCCATTTGCAAATTCTTGTCTTAGGAGGACTGATTCTCAAGAATGGACTCCGCACGTTCCTTGATAGCCAGCTATGATCTTGACTCCACATGTGGTCCTCAGTGCCCAGGCCTTGACAATAGACCTTTCCCATTCCCAGGCACAAAGAGATTTTTAAACATAATCATTCTACTATTCTTCTACAGCCCCAATATATCTCCACTTGTGACTAGTAGAAAATGGAGGAGGAGGCACAGGAGGAGAAGGAGGAGGGGAGGGAGGGAGGGAGGGAAGGAGGGAAGAAGAGGAAGAAGGGGGAGGAGTATCATTTGCTGGGCACGGTGGCTAGAGACCCTATCTCAAAAAAAAAAATCATCCTTGCCTGGCATAGTGATATATACCTACAATACCAGCACTTAGGAGACAGAGGCAGGAAGATCAGAAGTCTAAGGTTATCCTCAGCTACTGCCAAGTTTCAGGTCAGCCTGAGCCTACATAAGACCCTGTCTCAAAAAAACAAACAGACTACCATCCTCAGGCCTCTTGGGTTAAGTCTATAGCGCAACTCTCCCCGCTGGAACTCCCTAAGCCACATTCACCCTTCCATCCCCCCCACCCCTACCCCGCCCTTCTATACTCCTAGATTGGGCCCTGCGCCGTTCCTAGTCTTGGGGCCCCAGACACCTGGGGAACCAATACTGCTTCCTGATCCTTCTCACCCAGACGAACTCAGTCCCTTTCTTGGGCTCCAGGAGGACTGCTTGTGGTCCTGGCCAAGCCCTCACCTCTCTCTGCTTCCCTGGGCCTGCACCACCGGCTAACTCTCCTATCCTCAGGCCTCTTGGGGTAAGTCTATAGCGCAGCCCGCCAAACCGGGACTCCCTAAGCCACATTCACCCTTCCATCCCCCCCACCACTCTATACTCCTAGTTTGGGCCCTGCGCCATTCCTAGGCTTGGGGCCCCAGACACCTGGGGAACCAATACTGCTTCCTGACCCTTCTCACCCAGACCAACTCAGTGCCTTTCTTGT